AATTGCTTTAATAACGTGTGCGGACACGACTTCCGGCACAATATGGATGTCATAACAAACGCGTCGGACGTCTACTCCACCGACTATTTCACCGATCGGTGCCTTCATATCATCGGTTTGTTATATTCATATAATAATACATGTTAATATTAGGGTGACCAAACATGCACTTTTAGCGGACCACTTTACGAAACAAACAGTATTTAAATTTTTACGTATCGCATCGTATTTACAAACTGTAATTTTTAACGTTATTCAATTTTGCATCATTTCTCTCATTGACAGCGCAACACAACACGAGTCAACCCCTGTTCCTATACATGCCCTATCAAGCGGTTCACGCGAACTTACTTACTAGACCAGAGTCGCCCCCGAAATACACGGATATGTTTTCGCACATCTTATCGGCCGATCGACGGGAGTTCGCCGCCATTGCCTATACTATGGACGCATCCATTGGTGCGGTGATGGAGGCGTTGCATAACAAGCATATGCTGGACAACTGTATTGTTATATTTGTGAGCGATAACGGCGCTGATCCGCAACTGGGCTCTGGTATGTATTGTGAAACGTATTTCATATAAATAGTAACCGATTTTGTAATTATTGTAAAGGTAACAACGGCTTAAACCGTCCCCTCCGGGGCTCCAGGAGGGAGCTGTATGAAGGAGGTTTGTTGCCTAGATCACTATTTACGACAATGTAATTTACAATAAATGTTTAAATTAAGGCATTCGAGTGCCGGCCCTCCTATGGAGTCCATTATTGAACAAAAGTGGTTACGTTTCGGACGCTTTGATTCACGTCACAGATCTGTTGCCTACAGTATTGGATGCGATCGACGGCACAGGAATAGAAGATCAGAAAAATGCTTATGGTATTAGTTTTAAAATAATCATAATTAAAATAGATTTAATGCTTTATGTGATATTAATTTGAATCATTCTAAATATTTATATTGTAAATCAAGTTATTATAACGCAAAACCCTTTAAGCAGAAGCATAGCTTAACTAAACATTTCAAACATTATTATGTATAGTTTACTATTTATCTAACCTTGTTCAATGAAACAAATTCCTTTATATAATTTAATAATTATTAATTTGACAAGTTTAAATTGATAACATTTAATTACATTAAGTTATTTTAAGTACATGTTTAAGTTCAAGTTATTTTACAGTAAAATGATCAAGATTAACTAACAGTAGCATAGGTGAACATAATATAACAACCTAATATCATCACAAATAATATCATTAGGAATGTCTCAATGGTCTACCCTATCAACCAATGGGCGACCCGTGCGGTGGGAAATCCATCATAACGTGGATCCGCTGTGGAATCAGTCGGCCATTCGGTGGTACGACTGGAAACTTGTCCAAAGCTCTGAACCGGTGTTTTTCGGTAAAACCTTAGCCCAAATGGACTATAATAACGGCCACATCGGTGTCAATAACGCCCACAACTTCCCTGCGCTTCAGTCAACGGATCGTCTGAAGTGCAAAACCTATGATATATTGCGGCAAATGAATCGCAAACCCGATTATAACGTGTTAAAGGGGTCGGCCATCGAGTGCTCGACTAAACCGCTTACTCAAACACCGGCCAAATGTCTGAACGAGTTTTGTTTGTTTAACATAAGGGACGACCCGTGCGAACAGCACGACCTGATCGGCGAGATTGAGGCCGAGTTTGTGGCCATACTGTTGGAACGATTGCGACAGTTTAACCGTACGTCTGTCCCACCACTAACTCTCGTACCGCTTGACCCCGTGGCCAGTGATCCCGCACTATATAACTACACTTATGTTAATTGGTTGGATTATAAGGTAGTGTCTGACAGTCACGTAATCTCTAATAAAATTGAATTATAGTAACACTGGGTTATCTGTCCGGCGCTTAGTCCACACTTTATGCCTTAGCCTGACTTAACCAAACATAACCTAACAATTAATAAACGTTAAACCCGTTAGACTCGATACAGTTATATGATCCAAAAGTAAAATGATCTAAAATAAATGTAAATTTCTACTTACTCATTCATGATAGCAATATTCACAAAATAATAACCAGATACACTACGTACAAATTACGTAGAACAGAATTTAATTTAAACAGACTTGATGATTTTATTATTGTTTGCAAAAATTCATATTGCCCATATGATTAGCATTATCTATAGTTTTAAAATTGTCCATAGATCAACATTACTCCAATAAAATTATTATTACCCAATTACATAAATATGAACACAACAATTTTATAAATATAAATCAAATAATTGTAATGAAAATTATTAATGATATAATAAATTTTAGTTAATAATATTTTGTTATTAAAATTTAAACCCTATCACCTACTGTATATCTGAGACATTAGCCGGTGCAGGACAATAGTATTTATTATAAAGGTATAAAGTACTTTACAACTATTTTTTACCAAGGCTAATGATAATGCAGATATTAGATGCTGTATGCAGACATGTAAATTACATACATGGTGCAATTACATGATTTGACAATTTATATGCATGTGTCAGATATCATCAGATATTCAAATAAGTAATTAACACAATTTTGTTTAAGTGCTGTATAATAGAGAACAACGCGAAAATTGTGGAGTTTATAAAGAACAATTGTGCCGAATGTGCAAGGTCATTAAAAAATTATGGCAAATAAAACACTGAAAGTGCTATTCGTGCCCCTCTTAAACGCGGGTCACGTAAATCCCTGTATAGCTATTGCGGAACAGTTGATAAATAGCGGACACCGAGCGGTGTTTGCTGTGGACAGCGTTTGGTCGGGAAAACTGACCGCTTATGGCATCGAAGAGATAGTATTGGCCAAAACGGATCCACCGATACATCGACCGAACGATCCCTCGGAAGCAACCCGAGAAATGATGGCATCGGTAATGCTTAGCGACGCGTCGGCCCTCCAGAAGGCTATAATCCGCGCAAAAAACTCCGATTTGTGGATAAAATACGCTATAAAAATGGACAAACAGTTGGAGCGACTGATGCCCGACATTCGTCCAGATGTTATAGTTGTGGATCAGTTGATAGCACTGCCGGCGGTCGAGTTGTCGGGCATACCGTGCGTCTGGTGCTGGAGTGCCGGCATTCTTGAGATGATGGACAATGAGAGGGCACCGCCTCGACAATCAGGTTTATCATACACTCTCCGCCCTCACAAACGCAAAGCCAAAAATTTAAATATAAAGTTAAATTATAGTATACAATAAATTAAATGATTGTATATTAAGGAGAGCACTGATTCACACAAACTACTAAATCATCTCTCTTTATATAAAACAACAATACATTGAATGTAAACTTTATGTTATACTGTACTATTAACATGTAATCATTTGTATAATTTGTGTGAACCAACCCAATCATTCAACCAGTGGATAAAATATTGTATTGATTATTGCCATTTTATGCAATATTTAAAAAAAAACAATTAGTTTTATTCAGATAAATTGTTAAATTCCTTTATATTGATAATATAATGCATTATCCCATTGATATTATATCACTCCCATTACTTACAATTTACCCATGTACATAATATTATTATCTTTGGATTAAACATTGGCATAAACCTAATCGTATCTCACAAGTCAGGGCAAATTTTTATAATGTTTTTTATAATCTAGTGATAAACAATTTAACGTTTATAATGATTAGTATGTTAAAATAATCAAGGTGAGACATTGATTACGTCCTATTATAAACAGGGTACATTACAATCCATAGGACTATCCGCTACCGGAGACCAGAAATTATGGCAAGTGTTTAGACAAAGCGTTAGAAATAACGTGAAAGACAAGTGGCAGACGTTCAACGACTATGTGGTCGGCCGGGCTGCGAACCACTGCCCGAATACTACTTCCATAACCCCTCGCATTATCTCAATATATGCAGCTATCCCCTGGAGTTGGACTATCAGGACATCCGGCCGTTTGGCCGAAATTATATCGGATTTGATCATTTCATGCGCACTGAACGGCACCTGACATTCGCAGTGCCGCCAGAGTTGGCCGCAAAGCCGGGAAAATTGGTGTACTTCTCGTTCGGAACAATTGCTTCAATCGATGTGTCAAATATGCGCCGACTTTTGGCCATTTTGGCCAAATCTCCGCATCGGTTCATCGTATCAAAGGGTCCGTTGCATATGGACTACACTCTGGCCGACAATATGTGGGGCGAGGAGTCTGTGCCTCAGATCCAAGTCCTACCACTTGTAGATCTAGTGCTAACTCACGGCGCCATCAATACTATCACCGAAAGCCTATACTTCGGGAAACCGATGATAGCTATGCCTGTATTCGGTGAGCAATACGACAACGCACAGCGATTGCAGGACAAGGGCTTTGGTCTACGACTCGACGCATACAAGTGCTCAGAGGAGGAGCTGTTGGCAGCGATCGAGACTCTACTGTCCGATCGCCGATTGGCTGAACGCTTGGCCGAAGTCTCCCGAAGAATACATACGGATAATAGTTTAGCAAAAGTGTCACAACTTTTTGAGGATTTTGTTCAAAATCGGCACAAATATATTTAAACCAAAATTTAAATTAATTGATGTTCAATTAACATGTTCAATATATTAAAATATCTCTTATATTATATATTACAAAATATTAAATAATATTTATTAGCATCAAAACGCGGTAGGGCCACTTTAGTGCCACTTTTATGCTATTTTTAGTTATAGTGTGCCCTTTAATATAAAAATAATTCAATATTAGTTTATAAGTAAAACCCCGATCGTAAATTAATGT